ATAAGAACCGATTCTTGAAGCACGAAGAAATAGCTACCAACATCCCTGCTGGTTCCTAGGCGTTCGGACGAACTGCAATCTGACAGGTGCACTGAAACACCGCTTAAAAGACACGAATCACATCCTGACTGCGCCAGGATGGTCAGAAGCCGGTCAAGCAGCACCATAGTAAATTTTGAAAAGTTCGGAAAAGCGCATTGGACTTCTCGTATTCATTTTGTTAGGCAATGTAATACCACATCGTCTTCCTGTCGATAAATATAAGAAGTTCAAAATTCACATCTTATTTTGTTGCGAAAGTGTCTAACGAATAACAATTACCAGTGTTACTGGCAGCGAGAAAGGTTCAATAGCCATAAATGTTTTAATTTAACATTTACACGCTGTGCTTATTCTTAAACAGTTATTGTATTTGTTAAATGTATAACGAACTCATCCACATCGAGTAAATTTTAACAGTATTCGGAAACACAGAGAGCCGCTTACAAGGCGGTTTCAATGTAAACTTTTCTATCATCTTTCTCATTAATGTGGTTAAGTGATTGAGAAGGCATGCACTGAATATTGTCGCGTTCGTAGACCATAAGGAGCTTGACTCGTCTCAATTTACGGCTGTCTTAAACCTTTTACATGAACAATGCACAAATTCTGTTTATGTCAGCCTAATCGCAAAGCTCAACGAGTTGCACGAAGGACACCATTTTGTTCAACAAACCACGTCACTTTAGTATCTATCAAGAAAATGCCACCTCAATCAAACGCCATTTCCCCGCGGTCGTCATATCACTCTTCAACCAGCTAATGAATGCAACGGCATTAATATGGATAGAAAGGAGCTAATGCATTCGTTCGCTAAGCGAACGCCACATCGTTCTCCTTCAAGATGTAATGGGGCTGCAATTGAAATACTATTCTGATAATAGCTGAGCAATTTCATAGTCTTCTCCAACAAATCTGCTATCACTATTTATCACTGCAGTGGTGCAAAAGCGTTTCATGTACCAACAATATTATAAAGAGGATGTTTCAGCAATTGAAAGAAGAATCCTGCTCTATCCGGTTGGAGATTAACCTCTCCAAGACGAACTGGATTCTGGTACATTACGAAAGACGAAGAAAACAAGTTGGCGGTCACGCAGACAGTCCGGCGCAGTGTGCATTGTCCTTAGGTATCACGTTGCAAGTGGAAAAATTCGACAATGGACAGTCAAAATAAAATTATGAACAGAACTCCGCTGGACCACAAACGGCCTCTTGGTCATCCTACATCCCCAAAACACACTGAGGTTACCAGATGCTCAAGTTACTTCGTCAGTAATGGAGACATAGTAGAAATGATTAGAGGAGCGATGACTAGCATAAATCGAAAGTCCGTAAACGAAGAAACGCCAGATAAAGAAATTCCGTTAAGATTTCTGGAGGCATGTTACACTGCAGAACGGGGTAGCAGGAAACACCTGCACAAAATCACCCTAAAAATTGTTCACTACGATCATGTTTCTGAAAGCGTACCGTCATCTAAAACGCATAATGAAAGCTAACTGGATTGTTTTCGGTAGGTGATACGACACTAACAGTGTAGTATACCAATCCCTCACTGCTGCTATTAGATGATTGTTTGATCACGGCTGTCCAGACGGCATAGCGTCGGACTCATAACCGAGAGGGCCGAAGTTCAAATCCGGTTGGGTCATTCGCCTGTCTTCTTCCAACGTTCATGAACGCCACCTTGAAAAAGGAACACACTACGCACTACGATTGCGGCATAGCTGCTGTCCTGTAAACTCTGCCTTTAAAATAACGCACTGCTGGCCAATGGCGATATAAGTAAACGACAGCGACCAACAACCGACTTCATTGAATAAAGCATCAGAAATAGCTGTCATTAAGGTGTAAGGAAGATCGGCATTCTAACATTTACAAACTCTGTCATCTGAAAAAACTGACTATCCAGAATCTGCATAGTGAGGGTATCATTTCTGTTTAAAAATCCTACAATACTGCTTAATTTTTGAAAGTTATAATGTACCTTTTTAAGACGGAACAAACCAGGCGCAAAATACGTGATTGAGTGCAAAGGTAAATGTGATGAAGTATATTAACCAGAGCAGTTACGGTATTCGAGCATTCTTATGACGAAACATACTACTAAATGGTCGGACGGTGGGAGGTAGTGATAATAATTAACAACAGTTTTCATGCTTTCAAAGTAAACGTACGGAAAATTGTTCTGATCATAAACCTTGAAGTACGGCATAATGTCGTCATTGTATTTACGCCAGATAAAAGTATGAAGAATCATCGGGTACTGTATCCACTGCTCAGAGATAACGTTCGCTTCGCTAAGGAATTCAGCAATATGTAATTTCCTATTTCATAGGAAACACACTTAAGCAAATGGTGGAGTTCTGCATGCCATGCTCTTTCGTTTCATTTACTACAGTGGCGGCCATTTTTAATGATCAACCGCTGAACCCCATTTCAAACGAATAGAAGCAGATTAACTAACATCATTCGGTCATAGACTACATCGCACCTTAGTGTTCATATTATTTCGGCCATTACTGCTGCGCGATGAAGTGCTACCAAACCTCTTCGATTGTCGCAAATAATAAACTTGAAGCTATAGCAATAACGACTAACTGCCGTACACTGACAAAACCAATTCTTGAACGCTATCGTAAAGACAGAACATAAATTCAGACGGGGTTGTTTGAGTCATGGAAAACAGCAAGATGATGGGAGGCAGATTTGGATAAAAAGCGGAACCATACGTGATCTGTAACAAGTCGTCGTAACAAGGGCCGAACGAGGCTTTAAGATCAATTGTTCTCTTCACATCGATTGTCACCCTAATTCTCACCTATGGCCATGAGTCCTGGATAATCACCGAAAAAACCTGGTAGCGAGAATACGGGCCGCATGGGCCTGCTGAGAAGAATCGGTGAACTTTCGTACCTCGACAGAGTTCGAATCTCGGCGAATAGGGATACGAGCCATTATTTTTCATGCCTGCAAGGTTCAAACTGAGATTGCTTGGACGTGCTTTATGGATGCCATCTGAAAAGTGCCGAAGAAGCAACTCCTTAATTCATCAACCAGCAAGGGCCCAGAATGACTCCTGAAACGACGGACTCGATGGTAGGCTACTTATACTTATGCCCGATACGCAGACTCAGGCTAGAGACCGTGAAAACAGACGACATTGTTTGACACTGCTGCCTTCGCGACCTGAAGGAATAAAATGCTTCAAAGACAGCAAAAGAAATTCACATAAATCAGATTCAAGGTAGAAACAGAAAAATTTGAAGTGCACAATAACCATGAATCTAAACACAGGAAACAGAAATAGAGTACTTTTGAGTTAAAGGAAGATAATTGTTTTGTTGATGTATGGTTAGAAAACCTCAACATAGACGGAAAAGTTTAACAGTGGGCGCTTCTTTACTAATACCGGTGACATGATCCGAACTGAATTACGTTATTGGTGTTGGTTATGAAATGCGCTGACTGTTAATAAAACTCTCTATCTCTCTCTCACGTTTGGGTTTCCTATGTGCCACAAAAAAACTTTGATGAACTACGGGCCGAGAATCAATAACTCTGTCAGAAAAACCCTTGAATTAATAAACTGTTCTTTGACAAGTAATTCCAAAAATAGTGCGTCAACATCCAACGATGGGTCTAAAATTTTAGTATCTGATTCAGTTGAAACGATGTTCGAATTGATAGGTAAACAAACGAACCCCAAAGCTGCAGTACTATTAATAGAAATACTGAAGCTTTAAAAGCAATTAAAAATATTTCTTGCAGTGAGCAAAAAATCTTTGTGTTATCAAAGCATATATTGGCAGAAAAGAGTACATCAGATCGTCTTAGACAGTACTGGCAACATTCGCAACCGTAAGCCATCTTATTGCAAAATTAGAAAGGTAACCAATTATTTGAGGAAATATTCCATCCATTAGCAATTAGTTAATCAAGAAAAACTAAAACAACAAAATTATCGTACGTTATGGCAGCCAAAGGATAAAACGAAAAACAGCTTCTACCATTTGTGTTCATTCCTAAATATATACCATCCATATATTGATGGTTAGAAATTATTTTTTTGTAGTCGGTTGACTAATTACGGCACTTGTGGTGTAAACACACCAGTTTTTCGACAACATAACGAAACAGATTTTACAGCAACTTTATGAACTCGATCGCGTTTACAAACACAGTGAAACCATTCATGCTTTAACTGCGTATTTTCTCATCGGCCAACGGCGCGCCAACCTTCGCTGTCGCTTAGTTCTGATGGAAAGTTCGCGCTTGGTCAGAGCTCTTCTGAGAGCACGGGTCTTTTTTGGGCGCAAATCAAGTGGCTTGTATTTAGCATTCTACAAACATTATGAACGTGAGGAAGAAAGACGAACTTTCACCGTTACCGCATAGAATTTTCGGAGCTGCTCTTTCTGAGTCTGGTTTATGACCGTCAAGACACGAGCAATCGACTTCCTCACAACTTTTCTATAATGACAATTTCAGAAAAGATAAGTTGAAACTGAAATGCACATCTTGGAAAGCTTCGAAGCTGCACCGCCAGTAACCTTCGCGACCCGCAGTGAAGCGAGTTCCTGCCGTAACTCATCAAGTTGTTTAAGAAGTTCGTCTTTGCGTTTACCGCGAAGCTCTCGCGCCCTCACTTTAGCCATTTAAAATTCGGTCTAAAAGAAATAACTTAACGGTTGAATACTACAAAAATGTTAAGCAACGCATCATGCACGTATAAAGTTACATAAAACGTTTTACACAAATTCACATCACATTATGAACAGCACCAACGATACGCGAAAGGCTACCACAGCAGTGGAACAACGAAACATACAGTTTGACCAATTATAAAATAGGCAGGATAGGTTAAATTACGTTTCTCGGAACTTCAATTACTACAGTAATTCATCAACGTAATTAATAATACACTAGATTCTGAAAAACAGTATTATTCAACTGAAGGCTTGAATGAATCAACGAACTTATTGCTGTTTTGTTATCATTATATCTGCTTAAATTTAAAATAAAACAATAAACGTTCTTGGTTTATACTAATTTAAATATTTAATATTTGATCCTCAGTTTAATCGTTTCGTTCATGGAGTACGAAATTCGAGCAGTGATTGAAGGTCTCGTCGAACACCAGAGGTGTTGGGTTAGAACCCCAAAAAAACAGTTCTAGTCGATAATTTCTTGGAGCGAATGATTCGTCTGCTTTGCGCCGGTGCCAACAGTCGAGAATCGGGTAACACGTCAATCACTTGTTAACTGCGGAAAGCATTGTGCTTTGGTGTGCTCGTATCAAAATTGGCGAGAAGTACTGATGAGTTGCTTTTGTGATTTCAGTTTGCCTTAGCCTATTCCGTAGTTGAATGCATAATCAGTGGATGAGTCAGTTTTAATGGATCAGTCAATTAGTAGGTAGGTAGAGAAATTAGTTCTCCATTTTTTCTGTATTTACTGATAAATGTTAACCGCTCGGGTGTACTTTGCACTTTGAACGACCAGATCTGACAGTTCAAAGAAAATTATTTGCGCATTTACGTATGCTTATTTTCAAATCCATCGTTCCTTTGTTGCATTTGGGTTAGCTTATTGTGCTTTCTTTTGCCATGAAATGTGTGAAACCATATTCCCCTTTCACCAGCAGATAATTTATTGTATTATTCCTGCAGAGTTCTCCGAATATTCAGTAAAACCACTAGGAAGCTTCCCTCACAGACTTTAA